GAAAATCTTTAACTGGGATTCTTATAGAGAGGAGGGATTGAGTCTCCTTTAAATTTATGAGGGTAAAATTCTAAGATGTTAATCACGACCCCATACTTAGAGGAATTTATTTAAAAATACATACATCCTTTTAAAATTAGCAGCTTTTAATATCAAAATATAACTGATGCCAGTTCTTTGAAAATGTATCCCTCAAGGTATTTGATTGGTCAGATCTGTTGGCCTTTTGTAGCACAACCATGTTGAGATGGTCCCACTCATTCCTCTTTTGATTCCTTCTCAAAAAGAACTAAGTTTAATGGATCCTTGTTGACATCCCATACCTGCCATGGCTGCAGCCTTGAAGTCCCAAATCTCTCTTTGCCCTCCTTCTGTCTTTTCCTCCTGGATCTGGAGGAGTACGCAGCCTTTAAGACATGAGCCAGAGTCCTAACAATACTGTAGATATATTGCTCATTTCTGATCTGAAAACTTTTCCTTTTCTCATGGGTCTCCAGTGGTGCTTTCTGAGTGCATCTTCCCCGCCCTTTAACAGAAAAGACATGATTTGAAAAAGAACAGCTAAAATATCTATCTTCAAATTGGGGGTCTACAAAGAGAATGGGTTCAAAGGGGTCATCTTTTGGAATTTTTCTCCCCTGATAAGCAAAGGCCAGAATACTGTGGACATATTTGAGAAGTGTGTTCTTCTTTAATGAAAATATTCCCAATCCTGTCATGATCCAGACTTTTCTTTCAATGGGACCTGGCAAACCTTCAAGTGTTGAATGGAAAGGAAGAATTCTATCCCAAAGAGAAACTTCTATGAAATGAACAAAGACATTGACTTGTCTCCACTTAGAGATGGCATTCTTGAGGGGTGCTATAAGTCCTGTCATTGAGAATTGTTGTGATATAACAACACAAATTCCATTCCTGACAAGCATAGGAGTAAAAGTCCTGATGAAATTCTCTCCATTTTCTGTGTCTGAAGAAAAGAGGCCAATTAAGATCCATCTGAAATGGAGGATCAGTTGGACAATTCCTGGGTACTGGATCCCATCTTTGGGGAGCATCCAATAGAAAAAGGGGAATTGACTTTTATCACTTAGAGCCTCTGGAGAAGTTATATAACCAATCTGAAAAGGCAATGAAGAATGCTGTGCTATATTTGAAGTCAAATCAAGCCCAAAATATGAGCTTTTAATCAATCCAACTTTGTTCTCATGCTCACATTAGAATAGTTTATTTTTGATAGCATATCAAGATTTAGAATATGAAATGCAAACCATTCATAAAAATACGTATAAATATAGAATAAAAGAAACAAATTAAATACATATAAGTAAAAATAAAGAATAGAAATCATGTTTATGTTTCACCTGTACAATTTATGAAAATGAGACCTACATATGCAGGTCTGAATTGAACTGTTTTTATCAAAGAATGGGTCAAGTTATATGTAAATTCTGAATTCTGATCACACAAGAAGTATGTTGGTTTAACATATGAATCGTAATAGGTCAATTGGTCTAATCTGCAGCCCAATATACTGGTCCCTCTCTTTCTTATACAACTTACATTCAGATAATAAATGTGCTATGTCTTCTATCTCTGGACTTCCACTAATAAAAACCTTTTGAAAGAAGGATCTTCAAACTGGGGGTCTACAAAGACACAGTTTTGGGAGTCTGTTGGATTCCATAGCTGTAATTGGTCCATACAATGACCATGGTGAAAAACAGCTCTCGAATGCAAGAGAGAAGATATAATTAAGTGTTTGGCTTACCTCCCATCCTCTACTTACTTTACTAGATAGAGAAACACATAGACAAACCTGTGGGACTTTATAGATGCCTACTAAAGTTGACATCTGGATGGAGATGTCCCCGTAAGCTGCATCAAGAAGAGCCAAAAGATTGTCTATCCTTCCACAACTGTAGTTGGGAACATTGCCTTCTCCAGTAGAAAGCATGTCCAACAAGGCATCTGAAGTGCCACGTTCACTCATACAGTTGTCATGAATATTGTAGCCAAGAGTGAGATTGTGTAGAAGCTGTAGATTCTTGTTGGCCACTTGAATGTTGAAAACGAACCATATGACTCTATGCGGACCAATAGGAAGCCTACAGTAAAGCAATGTTAATATTATCACCATTGTCATCAGCAACCATTTTGATAACTGCTGTAAACAAAACTCAGTATTCAAGTGATAAATTCAGGCTTAGAAGGGGAAGGAAATAATATGAACTTCTTTCTGTTTTTTTTAATGCCCCATCTTTGGATTTGAGTCTCTCCTACAAAATAAGACAAAAGAGAATAACCATGCATATCAAAACAATTCAAGAAATTAAACAGGTCCTGCAGTATAGGAGTAAGTGAAATAAGGAGAAAAGAATGAGAGTTAGAATGGAGGAAAATGCAACTCCATCACACTGAATGACATACAATTGTTTCTGACTATAGGAAGAAATGTTGAAAGACAACATTATCTTCGATCTTTTTGCTGTGGTGGTGACTATACTAATGAGATGGTCTCCTGGCCTGTAATAGCTCCATGGATTTTTTCCATCTTTGTGCTCCAAACTCAGAGGGTACTTCATTTTAAACTTTCCAGAAACTGGCTGGAACACAAGCAGCATCAGAAACAGAAGCAGGAGGCTCATTATTCATACGGCGGAAGGAATCATCTTCTTGTCTCTAAACAACAAAAGGAATTCAGAGAATTCAAAGCACTCTGACAAAATAGAAATGCCAGTGGTTTTCCTGATTAAGATGGAGACAAACCAAGGTTCACTTGCAAAGGAAAGAAAGCTATATTCAATAGCAAAGCCTCTGCTTGTCCTTGTGCAAAACATTCAGCATTCATAGAGGCATTTATCTTTTTCTGATGCAAGACTCCTTCCATGTTGCTTCTGTCTGATATTTACAACAATGGCAATTACTGGAGAAATAGCCCAAAGGGTCTAAAGACAATGACAGGGATTATCACAGTGAGAAGCAAGTCCTCCTCTGGGGATCCAGAACTACTTTGGGAATGTGCAAAAAGATTGGCTGGGGGGAAAAGCATATTAGTGAAAAGGCACAGCCATATCTCTGGGGATGCTTTTCTGTAGCAGTTGTGGTCCTTCCTGTTAGAATGTGAGGCTGGGGAAAGATAGTGCTGTTAGGAATATAATTCTAACGGTTGGGTTGGCAATATATAAATCATATAACAATGTTGTACCTGTTTCTTTAAATCATACTGTAAAAGTGATTGGTTGCTGTTTTCCTCAATCAGCCATAAGAGGGAGCCAGAATGCCTGTTAGTTCTCTCTCTGTTCATTAGATGCTGGGCTGATCTGATCTGAGTGCTGTGAGCTATTATACGTTTCGCAACTGTTAGCAAACTTTGATTACTGGACTGATTATATATTACTGGACTATGTTAATTGGATTATCCCTTAACTAAAAGACATTGATGATTGACTGAATTATCCATGTATGACTTGGACTGTTTGATGGACTCTGACACCTCTATTTCCACGAAAGTAAAAGCCTATTTAAACTGCAGTGTCTCTGTATGCTGGTTTGTGTGTTCTCCAACACAACTCTCAAAACGCTTTGCTGAACGTACTCACTCTTCCAACGGGGAGCTTACTTAACAAGTGCAACAGCACCCATGGGATTCATTTTTACTAACCTTCACTGTAGTCCCTTGTCTTCAGACACTGATGGAGCAGATCACCCAGAGCTATGGACTTTCATTGATTCTAGGTTGATGACACATCTTAGCGCTGCCTGCCTTCCAACATCAGGGAAACAATATTTACCCTTTACCTTGCCGGATGTTAAGAATAGGGTCTGTTTGGGATTTTCTTTCTTATTAGATTTCTGTATATTAATTCTAAATTGAAGCCAATTTTTAAAATTGCTTGTACCTGAAGTGACATTTCATTTCCCATTTTGTCTAGAAATAGCATTTTTTTGGATGAGATAAGAAGGTGAAAACTCATGGACTATATCATTTGTTAAAGAGGGAGAAAGTTATACAGCAGATAGAAATTGTTATATACTTTTGACACTCTCTGCGCTGTTTTTCTGTATTTGTGTAGGACATTAAGATCCTTCATACTTTGAAATCTCTTAAATGGTGGATAAACAGTGAAGTCCGCATATGAGGTGGTGGTGATGTCGACAGCAGGTCAATGGTTTGAGCTGCTATCTTGCAAAGGAATCAACACACTAGTTTGTTGGGATTCAGTGGCCCTTCTGGATGCATTGATGCACTTGGTGCTTCTATTGTCCATCTCTGAAGCTCATTCACACAAAACTGCCAAATGCTTGAATGATTCAGTTGGCAGACCCTGTGTTCCTTGTTAATCTGGGTTATTTGTTGAAGGCATTACAGGATCCTTTCTGGATATAAGATGATGGATGATAACAACTATATTTCTATAATGTTGACATATTAATGATTGTGAATGGTGTCCACCCTGTAAATATCAAAGGTATTTTTGGGTTCATCTGGATTCATTCCAAAATTTCACATAATATTTACGATGCTGGAAAATGAATTCAGAAGATGAAACTTCTTCCCCCCTCCTCTCTATCTATCTATCTATTTATCTATTTATCTATCTTTCTATCTATCTATTTATCTATCATTATCTATCTCTACTTACCTACCTACCTACCTAGCTAGCTATCTCTGTCCAAACAGTATGAAACCTGATAGGGTACCTGGGTTGATAAAATGTCTGTTCCTCTCAAGCTGTTCTTTTTATCCAGACAAATAAGGCACACACAATAATGCTTTTATATTGTGTGGATACAAGAGATTGGCCCCTCACTTCATCCTTTTCCATCACCAGTTCAGAATAACTATTATTTCATCAGCTTTGAATGAAAAGGAAAGGTAAAGCTGGCTGTCCCCACAGATTAACAATGCAGCCCACTTCTGCCAGCTGATCACTCTCTTCTCTTGTGGAAATAAATGTTTATAAAGCCTATAAAAGATTATTATGTAAATACAAGGAATATATTTTTTTTTCACAGCAGTGAAGTGTCTGTTGCTCAGTTGGTGGATCAGCTTTGTAAGGTGCCATATATTTTATGGTGCATAACATCTACTTAGGTCCACCTATTGTGTCCCTTTGGAAAGAAGGAAATAATAAGAGTAAGAGAGAGA